TTAGTAAATCTATAAAAAAAAGATATTTTTAAAAAAACCTTAAAATTATGACACGCAAAAATGTGTGTCGTCTTCCTTTATGACATGGGCTTCCTTGACAGGCAATGCGTGTCGTGAGTGTGTGCTGTAAATGCGCGTCGTAAGGTTACGGCACGCAAATGCATGTCATATTCCTTTATGACAGGGTCTTCCTTGACAAACATTTGCATGTCATCTGTACCTTTTATGACACGCAATACATGTCATTAAAGGGTATTTTTCTAGTAGTGATAAGGGAATGAGTGCGTGATATTCATCTTCAATCTTCACATCGACCCCTTGTAAATCTAATATAATGTGATTGAAGTTATCCAAATGATATTTCACTTGGGTACTTTCATACATTCTTAGAGTGTACAAACATTGCTTCTAAAATAGTTTGTTCGTCAGAGAATTGTTCTCGTACTTATCACTAGGTTTCTCCCAAACCCCAAAAGTAGTTGTTTGTTCCATGACCTCCCTCAGTACTTCATCTGTTAAACTCAATAGAATGATACTGTATGCCTTCGTCAGAATATCCATATTCCTTTCAGCCACCATGTCCTTTGGAAGTTTTGCTTCTCCTTCCAGTGTCGCTACACATCCTTGTTGAACCAGAAGAGCACTCATTATCACCTTCCGCAAAGTGAAGTCATTTAAACTAATGAACTTCTCCAAATGAAACTCGTGAGTAGACATCTTCATTCATAGAATACAAACAACAACTCTGATACCACTTATTAAGAAGTAAAGCAGAGAGGAATATTCTTTATTTATGAGCTCTCAAACAGAGGTTACAAGTGCAATTCAAGAGATATTCGACTACTCACTAAAATTAAAGACCTTGACAAATAACTAGCATGCATCCCTATTTGTAGACGAGGGATCAAACCTAAAACCCAAATGGGCCAAACCCATTAATCCACATGCTCATAAGAGGTGTCATCCAATCACAATCCGCCATGCAGCCACTTCTGGAACCTGCATCCTTGAGATACATTGCATGAAGATCATCAATGAACATCTTCAACTTATGAGCTTCCTCCTTGAGCATCTTCATCTGATAAGCGTCTATGATGCTCACAAGAGATTCATGATGCCCATTTGCGATCCTTGATGCCCATTCTTGATCCTTGATGCTCACTTGTGATCCTTGATGCTCTCTCATGATCCAAATTCTTATTCATGATTGTTAATGCTCAATCGTGATTCATGGTGCTCACTCATGATCCATGATGCTTACTCATTATTTGAATGTTCACTTGTGATTCGTGATGCTCACTCGTGATCCCTGATGCTCACTTGTGATTCATGATGCTCACTTATGATACCTAATGCTCACTCGTGATTCCTGATGTTCACTCGTGATCCCTAATGCTCACTTGTGATCCCTGATGCTCACTTGCTTTATCAGATGCTCCATTGATCTTCAAATGCTCCAAATGCTCCAAATGCTTAATTCACATTTAACATACATATCAATAGACTTTTAAAACACATATTTTGTATGACTATTTTCAAAATGTGTGTCCTACAATGTTATTCTTTAGATGACTTCTTGTAGAATTTTAATAATTATATAAATTCTCAACGAGTGATCTATATGATATAGCTTATCCGTTAACATTTGTAGAAAACTTATATGATAATTTTGAGATAATATATGAGTTACTATGAGAATTTGTAGAAAACCAAAAATCAAACTTTGTAAAGGAGTAATCAAACTTGATTTCACATATGGTATTAGGATATTATAACTTGGAACTAAGTCGTTGGCCCCATGTTTTGGAATCGGTTTTCTTCTTTTCTTTGGAGGCAAGATAGGCCAAAGATAAAGACGATACTCCTCCTTGGTTTCGGACATGTAATACAAATTGTTAGGTATAGGATCGTTTTCGACCCGCTTGAGGACTATCAAATTCTAATAGTTATCATCAAAATAAAGTATCATTTCTCTCTTTTCTTGTGTCGCAACTTAAAGCCACCCAAACATATTCTCCTCAAAAGGATTAATCATATTTAAAGTCCAACATCAAAAAGAAAAGTCTAAGTCTAAGGGCAAAACGGTAATAACAAGCGTAAGAAATATAACTTTCTTCTTTATTGATAAAATTAATACACGGTTAATTGCTACTTCCAGGGTATTAAAGGTTTCAAGTTTAATTTTATATATATTTTTGAAAAAAAAACAATATTTATTTAATTATTGATACATAACTCATTTTAGAGGGTGTTTGGATAAATTAGCTTATAGCTTATTAGTTTATTACTTATTAACTTGATAGCGGTGAGAGAAAACAGTTTTTGCAAAGTGTTTGGATTAGAAATAAACAATCAGTTATAAGCAAGGAGAGAATGCTTTTTAAAATTAGCTTATTTAGTTTATCCTACCGCAATAAGCTGATTTTTAGTGTTTCATATCCAAAAAACTTAAACTTAGCTTATAGCGGTAGGGATTAACAATAAGCTATAAACTCTCCCTTTTTCCCTATTCAAACACCCTCTTAGTTAAAATTAAATAAATAAATAAATAAAGTGAAGTATATTTATATGTGTTTATTTGTAAAAAGGGTATCAAACCGGTGAATATCATATCATACCTTACAACACTATTGCTCTGTCATGTTTATAGTCACATCATTTCCCTTCACATCACAAAAATAATGGATGCCATACCATACTTTTATTTTTATTTTATTTTTCTTTTAATTGAATCAAATGTAATTTAATAAAATTTAATTATATAAAAATAATAAAAGGAAAAATACTTCATTACTTAAAAAAGTACATACAAAATTAAAGACATAAAATAACATAATCGAACAATTGTGGAATAGTACGTAACGCCTAATCATTGTAATCATCGTCACTCGCCATATCATCATAATCCTTGCACGAATCTTCTTAAAAAAAGTCCGATTTATCATCTGTATCGTCGAACAACTCGTTTTCAAAATCGTCGAAGTGGACGAAAATGAAGACATTTTAGAATTATGAATCAAAAGTATATAGAAGTGTTTGATGTTTGTTTTGTGTTTTAAAGAAAGAGAAGTATAAGTAGTTATTTATAAAAGAAAAAAAGTTAAATTATATCCAACTGAAAACGGTCGAAAAGCAACAGGTAAAAAAAGTGGTGTGGTGAAGTCTTCTTGTGCGACAGTACCGCACTCCGACCAACCGGTCGATGTTGTGTTTACCGCACTACCACGGTGACATGTCACCCCCGCGGTGTGCAGTACGGTCGTGCACATACCAGTCTCAGTGGTAAGTAAAGTACGTCCTATATCTTAAATATATTTTAAGTGTTGGTATTTGTTTTCGCATATGGTGTAGGCCATCCATGTGATTCAATCGATCTTCATATAGACATAACTATCGACATCGACCATCTACATCATTCTAATGAGATTAATGTGATTTCTTGGTGTCATTGGTGTTGCTGTTAAACATTTCTAATTACAATAAATAAAATTATTTATGTATTTTTTAATGTTTTTTTTCCTCAACTACTAATTATAATATATCTTGGTTAAAAATACTTAATAGTTGGCTAAATATTCCAAACATTTGGTCATCCACCTAAACCATGCTTTAAGCATTGGAGTTGGGGTTGGTTTGTTGAATCAAAAGAACTCTTAAAATCAACTAAATGTCAGTTAAGACAACTCAACTAATGATAGGGAAAATTTTAGTTCTTTTATCATTTAAAGGTATATAAAATATTGGTTTCATCGGTCATCATTGATGTCCCACCTATTCACGGAGTTTAATTTGTGGTTATATATTGCTTTTACTGTTGATAGAAAATATATAAATCAATCGGTGCAAAAACTTTGTCCAATGAGAATCAAAGTATGAGCTAGAATAATATCTAGATGACTATAAAGTGATTTCATACAATTATTAATGAGAATTTGTAATTATTTTAATATAATGTCTTATCAGTAAATGAAAGAAAAGACATTCATCAAAAGATATTCTTTATCTAAAGATTTATAAAATGAAATAATACATCAAACACGAAATTAATTCCATGAACACTTTATCAAGAACAAGAAAAGAAACGTGAGAATTAAACAATCAGTTTAACAATAATGCGATTAGATTTGGTCATTTTTGTTGTTTTCTAAGATGATTAGTTTTGATAATATCTCTAAAAAAAATCTATAATCTATTTATATTTTTAGTACAAAATCAATAATCATTAAACCACATAAAATTGCTAAAATAAAATCAATGTAGTTTAAAAGAAATCTTGTCTAAATCAGTAGTCTTAAATGTTATTAATTTGGTGGATGATGATGCCAAATTCCGTCAACGAGATTTATGATTCTTACATTTGGAAGAAGTTATATTAAATTCATGAAGAAAAGCTATTATCAAGTATTTTTTTATATATTTTTGATTCATCATATTTGATAAAATTAAAAAAATAAAAATTTAGTGTCTTTTGTGGGAAAAAAATATCAATTTTTACACAAACTGATACATCATCATGTCACGTCAGTAGGTAACCGGGTTGACCAGTCAAGTGGTCAGAATTATAAAAACTTGGAAAACACAATATCAAATTTGAAAAAAAAAAACACAGTGTCAAATTAAAATTTTGATATCAACTTAGTGTCTGTTGTATTATTTATCTTAAATTTTAACTCTAGCGGCTGAATTAAATGACATGAAAAAATTGGAAAGGAATAGCGTCTTTTTCTAATGCCGTATAATGCATTAAGACACCTTTGACCAAGTAAAAAGTCTATAATAGCCGTGAGTCCCACACCCAACTTTAGAAATTACAGCTTAATAGCTATAGTTGATCAATACCCAATTCTTTTATGCAAACGGGGGCTTTTTCACATTATGCCAAACTACTCACATAGATTAAAAAAATGATAGATTATTGTAATATGTCTTAGAAAATTATTTGAACATATCTTAGAGTTAGTTAGAAAATTGATTTTTCAAAAAAGAATAGCAGATAAGTAATGAAAAGACAAGGTCACCCGCCGCCTACCGGGGAATGGGAGGAAGTTAGAAGAAGGAAACAGGCTAGCAGAACTTATGAAGGAGATGATCTAACTCACTTCTATGTAGCAGGATTTTCCAATGGGATCAGGAAAGATGAGTTACACAAATCTTTCACTAGATTTGGAAAGGTGGTAGACGTGTATCTTGGAGGAAGGAAGAATTATCAACAGATGAATTTTGCTTTTGTGAGATTCTCCGATGTAACTGACGCCAAAGCTTTGGAAGACTCTCTTCAAGGAATAAAATGCAGGGATATGTTGCTCCAGGTGAACATATCAAAACACCAAAGAAAAAAAACTAAGTTACCTCCCCCAACTCAAAATCGCCGGACATCAAGGCACGCCGCTCCTCAGCCGATTTCCCCTCAAACTTATGGAGAAAGAGACACAAGAACCTTTGCCCAAGTTATCACAGGTAATCGTAATAATCAGCCAAACACTCCCGAAATTCCAATAGAACTCAACTCAAATACTCAAATGAGCCTTTGGTTGAGCAAGAGTGTCCTCATTGGGGAGCCACACTCCCTAGACCACATCTCAAATCTACCTGCATGGATACTAGCGATTGAAGGTACCAAATACTTAGGGGGTCTCAACATTGCAATTAGATTTGGATGCTCAGTTGATGCTAAAGAATATATGGAAGACAGAAGCAGGTGGAACGAATGGTTCAAGTGGCTAGTTCGTGGTGACCAACATGATATCAAATATGAAAGAACAGCATGGCTCAAAATAATGGGGGTTCCTCTAAAGGTATGGGATGAAGAAAACTTTTTCCAGGATTGCTAGCAGATTTGGAAAAGTCATTAACCCTTTTGATAACATCAACAATAGAAGAGATTACTCCATGGGGAAGGTGGGTGTATTAAGTTCTAAGAGACGGTGGATCAATGAACAAATCACCATTAAAGTCAATGAAAAAACGTATTAAATTGGTGTTGTAGAATATACTGATGATTGGTCTCCATTCAAGCCTGTTCCATTCGACAAAGTAGAGGAAGACTCTGAAGATGAAAGTGACGATGATGAAGGGGTATCGGACACATGGATGCATGAAGAAGATAACGAAGAAGAGGAAGGTGAATTCCGGCCAGATAACCAACCGGAAGTCAATAAATCGGCTCCGGCGTTTACTGATTTCAACATCAACCCAGAACCACCGGTGATGGAAGAAAACAACGGTGAAGAAGCCGAAGAGCCTCTGGTACCAAATTCCGTAGATGCTAGTACCGGAGCAAATACAAACATTGATGATCCTCGAGTGGAGAAAGGTGTGGCGGTTGACGTTCCACAAAACACGTGCGCCGACCTGGGGAATAAAATGGGGGAATTTATTTCGTCTGACACTTCCCAGGAACAGGTTCACATAAAAACCAAAAATGATATACCTAGGTTTGGTGATTTTGGGTCGGCAAAACACTTAATCCCATTCGGGTGTTTTGGGCCTTTCCTAAATAATTACCCCCCTGTATTCACCTCCCCAATAGCCCAAAACGGAACAACCCAAAAATCAAACTCATATTTGGATTCGAACAGCGGTGGACCCAAGGTCAAGAAAAGGAAAAAGGATAAACATGGTGCACGATCTCCATCCATTACCTTCTTCACCGACTCTTCTGTCCACATCAACCAGTGCAATCAATCATCAACCTTATACATCATTCTCACCTGAATCGAAATGGAAACCCCAATTCGGCAGCTGGTGAAGTACATCTCGATGACTCTAATTTGTGTGAATTATCACAGACGGCTAAGATCGGAGCTGAGATTGGATTCCAAATCAGCCCATATAATCTGATACTTGCAGATATTGTTGGTGAAACTGGTGTATAAGCTTGTGCCCAATGAATTGCATCTGATTAAACATTAGAGGTATTGGCAAGGAGGTTAAAATCAAGTGGGTTCGTCGGTTAAAAAGACTACACGATGCCAACTTCATCGGTATTCAAGAAACACAATTAATCGATTCTTCAGTTATAGATGTCAATGGATGTTGGGGCTCATCGGATATGGACTGGGAAGGGGTGGACTCTTGTGGTAGATCAGGTGGATTAGTATCGATTTGGAACACTAATTGTTTTAAAAAATTGGAGGTTATTAAGTCCACAAACTACCTAATTATAATAGGTAACTGGGTGGGTATTGACGGGAATACAATATTTGCAAATATATATGGACCTCAAGCTATTGTCGACAAGAACAATCTATGGCAAGAATTGTTATCCATCAAAAGAGCAAACACTGGTAAATGGGTGGTTTTCGGAGACTTTAATGTGGTCAGACGACAAGATGAAAGATTCAATTCTCAATTTTGCCCTTCTAGTGCAGCTGCGTTCAACGGGTTTATTCAAGAGGCGGAATTACATGACTTCAACATGGGGGGAGAACGTTACACCTATATGAGTCGTGTTGATGCTAAGTTAAGTAAATTGGACAGATTTCTTGCCTGCTCAAACTTCCTCTCATCTTTTCCGTCTCTATCTGTTACGGCTCACCCCCGTGAAATCTCAGACCACTCGCCAGTTACTCTGATATCTTCTGTGGCCGATTACGGTCCAACCCCTTTTAGATTATTTAATTCTTGGTTATTAAAGGATGGCTTTGATTCAGTGGTCATCACATCTTGGGCTAGCTTCAAGGGCTTTGTTAACAATGATGCTTATCTTGCTGCGAAATTTAAATATCTGAAAGGAGAAATCAAGAAGTGGAGGAATGCTGAATCGAAAAAAGAACATTAGGAGATTCTAAGATGTAAGAAGAGTGTAGCACAATTGGAATTAGAAGCTGAATCAAGAATTTTAACTACAAATGAATTGGCGACCCGAGCACAAGGACTTCAAAAGATTTTGGAATTGGAAAAGCTTGCAGTTCTTGATCTCAAACAGAAATCCAGAATCAAATGGACTATTGATGGTGATGAAAATACTCGGTTCTTTCACGAGTATATCAATAGCAGAAACAAGAATAACAGGATACAAGGTTTAATGATAATTGGTAGATGGACTTCAAATGTGGCGGAGGTCAAGGGTGAAGTTTTTCGGTTCTTCAAAAAGAAATTCAAGGAACAATCAGCTTCTCACCCCAAACTAATTAGCTCAAGATTCAAGTCCACCTCTATGATGGATGCAATCCGATTAGAAGCCCCTATAACTTTATCAGAAATCAAAATGGCAGTGTGGGCTTGTGGCAATGCAAAAGCCCCAGGACCTGATGGATACACTTTTTCATTCATCAAAAAATTCTGGGACACCATTAATATCGAAGTTTTGAATTGTGTTCAACACTTTGAAAAATTTGGTACTCTAGCTCGTGGTTGCAACTCCTCATTTATCACGTTAGTTCCCAAGATCAAAGACCCAACAACACTTGCAGATTACCGACCGATAAGTCTTATTGGTTGCATTTACAAAATCATCTCAAAGATCCTTGCCAACAGACTCAAATCAGTCATCGGAAATATCAGCAGTGATGTCCAGTCGGCCTATGTAGAAGGTCGTAACATTCAAGACGGTCCTCTCATGATTAACGAAGTCTGCTCTTGGGCTAAGAGTTAAAAAGAAGATTCTACTTTTTAAGGTGGACTTAGACAAAGCTTTTGACTCAATTAATTGGGGATACCTAGATTCTATTCTCGATCAAATGGGGTTTGGTAATAAGTGGAAATCTTGGATCCGAGGATGTTTAAACTCCTCCATGGCTTCGGTAATTGTGAACGGGTCTCCGACGGATGAGTTCGAAATCGCTAAAGGAGTGCGTCAAGGAGATCCCCTATCTCCCTTTTTGTTCATCATAGCCATGGAGGGTCTTAACATTGCAATGGAGGAGGCTCGAAACCAAGGCTTATTCAAAGGTGTTGTAATTCCCAATGATGGTCCTACCATATCGCATCTCTTCTATGCAGACGATGCACTGTTTATTGGAGAGTGGACTCGATCCAATCTAAAAAACCTTGCGCGGATTCTTAAATGTTTCCATGCATCCTCAGGGCTTACGGTAAATTTTCATAAGTCTAAAGTCATTGGCATTGGGGCTTCGGATGCTGAAACTGCAAACTGAGCGAATATTCTTGGTTGTGAGGCAAGCTCACTACCATTCAACTATCTAGGGGTTCCTGTTGGGGCTAACATGAATCTTGCAAAGCATTGGAAACCTATTATTGATAATGATAAGTTTATTACTCTAAAGATCGATAGATTGTAAGCAGAAAAACAATATCAATCAAGTAAAGAACACAGGAATGGATCAAATGATGTCGAATGATTAATAACTCACACCTCAGAAGAGCTCGATGAAGAACTTCGACTGTAGAGGTGTGCTAGGGTTACAATGAAAAGTAATTAATGAGAACGATGCCCTTAAAGCTATACATGCATGCAATATATATATGCTAACCCTAATGATTATCCACGGTTGGACAGGCCCAAACCGGGTAAACTAAATGGACTAATGAACCGAGCCCAAGACGCAACACTTAGACCCAACAATCTCCCCCTTTGCGTCAATTGAGGCGAGAGACTACTTCGGCTGAGTGACTTTGATATTCTTTACAACCTTGAACAGCCTAGGAATGATAGCAAGAAGAGTTTGCCGAAACAAAATATACCATCGAAGCATATCAGTAAACAACTTCTTATCGGCTTCACTGTTCTGATTACACCTATGAATAATCTCCAGAATGTGCTCCAAACAGGCGGTGGAGAATAGGTGTTTGTCAATCAGAGCGAACAGGCATTTTTGACCTTCGCCCCTCTTGAACATAACAGTGTGAAACTTGGGATCAATCTTCCCCTTAACCATTGCATTCACATCGCCTGCCCTTCCAATCTCCTTCACAGTGGTTCTCTTATCAATAGCAGCAGCAATCTCCTGATCCATCTTTGCGACTTCATGAATATAGCATACGAGCATTCGCTTGATGTAATCGATAATAGGCTGATACTCCTATGGATTGGTTAATAAAATATTATTAAGAAGTATCCAGTCGTGAGGGTTTAAGTTCGGTAGGTCAGCTAGGGAAATCATATGAACCGAGCTATCAGAGCCTCGGGTCACCTTGAATTTGATGTTGATGAATTTCTCTGCCGAAGTGGTTTTCAACACCTTGACCATTGTAATGTTCTGATTGCTCCAGGTCAGGTATTGTGGCTGAGCAAACTCCAGATAATACTCGAGCAAATCCCAATCGACCTTCGGTCTGGGGAAGGAATGCCAGCCGTTGACTCAAAACAGTGGAAGATGAACGCCTTTCGGGTGATGGGCATGTCAAACTGTGAGTCCTTGGAGTTCTCAAGCTCGAACGAGGAAACCGGTTCGAGCCAATGAGTGCTCGGTCCATCAATAACCTCTCTCAGAAGCGATTCCATAGTCCATTCAGGAAACATGGACTTCTTCTGTTCCAGCAATTCGTTCGCTTTCAACTCCTTGTCAAGAAGTTCCTTCTCTTTCTGAAGCCTCTCCCGAATCTCTTGATCAGTGGGATTGACTTTTAGACTTTCCTTTTTTCGAAGCATTCCCTTCTGTATCATCGTCATCGTCATTTTCATCCACATCATCGTCTCCAATTTTCTTCTTTTTCTTGTCCTTCATACTGCCCGAAGCTTCATTATCCTTCGGCTCAGCAGTAGCTTTCGGTTTGGGAGGTGGATGAGGTTGGCCCTTGCCTTGAGTAACCTTATCTCCCCCTTGTTTCGGAGGGACACCAGACTCCAGAACACCTTCAATCCTGCTCAACACGTCCAAAGCAGGTCTCAACTTTTCAGCCAAGTGGCGTCGGATGGAGATGGTAAGAATGGAGTCATAGGCTTCCAGGAGATGGAGGAGAATAGAGTGGACATCACCAACCGAACTCTTAATTATTTCTCGCTCGGTTTTTAAGTCTGGAATCTCCTGGTTGGCGGTCTTGAGCTTGAGATTCTAAATTTTAAGCTGGGAAGTCCGTTTATCCAGCTCATCCATAATCTTATTTTCAACAGCAAGCTCAGCTTCAAGTTGAGTTAGACGAGCATCAACTGAAGTCTGAAGCTCTTGGTTAGCAGCCTCAATTGCTTTGCGAGCTTCCTCAATATGTGTCTTTTTGGCTGCCAGTGAATGCGTAAGATGATCAACCGAAGCATTCACTGTTTCAGCATTCTTCTTGGCAGCAGCTTGAAGAGAATCCAGAAATATCTGGCCCTCAGAAATTAGTTTTTCGACATTTGCGGTCGCCTGCTTGCAATCTTTGGTGGACGCTTTAACTGCAAGTGAAGCTTTCTGGCAGGTTGAGGTTGAGGCTTCAATTGCTTTAGCAGCGCTGGAGATGGAGGTCTCATGTTCTTTGACAACCGATGAGAACAGGGCTTTGAGTGCTGCCTCTGAATATGCACTAGCAGAAGATGAAGATAGCAAGCGATCAAGTTTGTCTGTCACAGCCTTGAGATGCTTTTTGGTAATAGGGGCGTCATCATCTTCATCACTCTGTACGTGATAAGGTCTGAAATAAGTGGAATCAAACTCCATGTCTTCACCGCCAAGAACAAGTTCAGAGTCATGTGATCTAGGTGGGGATAAAGGTGCTGAGGTAACAGGAGGATCAAAAGCGAATGGACTTGCCCCCGTATCAGATATGTTGACACGAACAGTAGGTTCGGTTGGATGAGTGGTGGTAGTAGTGACAATAGTGAATAGTGGGGTTGG